TGTAAATAGGGAAGGGAGGGCATGAAGGGAGGGCTAGGAATGGGGAAAAAATAAGAACCAAGATGCATTATGTAAAGGTACAATTCCCAATGAGAAGTGTAATTGTGTTGTATACCTAAAATGTACCAATAAAAGAATTTAACAGCAACAAAAAAAAGATTATGACCTTCATTTATTTATTTATATTTTTCTGGTACCGGGAATCAAACTCAGGACCTTGTGTTTGCAAGGCAGGCATGGTACCACTGAGCTAAATCGCTGGCCCCTGACCTTCATTTATAAGGTAACTAACAATGGAGAAAGGCTGTAGAATCAATTTACATTACTTTTGTTAGAATCAAATAGAGCAATGGAGAATTATCTAAAATGAAAGGCAGGGGCTGGGGATGTAGGTCAGTGGTAGAGTACAAGGCCCTAGCTTCACTCCCCAGCATCACACACACAAAAAAAAGAAAACAAAAAAATGCATTAAAATGAAAGACAAAGTATAGTTGTGATCATAGAAGATATTTCTAGACTATTAAATCTTGGTATAGGGGCCAGGGATTTAGCTCAGTGGTTCCACCACCTGCCTCGCAAGTACAACATCCTGAGTTTGATCCCCGGTACCAAAAAAAGTCCTGGTGTGAATTGGCACTTACTAGTAAATAAGACAGTTGCTAACCTGATTCTGATGATGGACGTTTGGGGACTAGGATATATGCAGTGTGTTTTGTGTTCTGAGTATCAGACACTGCTTTTTCTTCAATAGAACCAAGGTGGGAAGCTGGCAGTGCTTGGTTCATGTCACATGTTCAGTGACCAATATTTGGATAAAGAAGAAAACAGCAAAATTATGGTAAGATTTTCCTTTTCATCAAACTAATCTACAGTGAGCTGGGAAGGTAGCTTGGTGGTTGGAACACTTGTTTAGTATGCATTAGACCCTGGGTTTGGCACTGCAAAGTTACAAAAATTTTAAAATAAAAATAAATTAATGTAAATTGTGAAAGTTTGATTTTCATGTCATTTCAAAAGTACCTATATGTGCATTTATTCACTTAAAACCAGCTATTCAGAGCCCATCATATGCCAGGCACTAAGAATATAAAGTTGTATCAGGCATTCCCTGCTTTGAAAAAGATTATGGTACACCAAGAGAGAGCAGTAGATTAATTAGTAAACCCAGAAAGATGCTTCTAAGCTTGCAGAGTTGAGATGGGAACATCCCTAGAGAGGTGGTAAGGAGGCTCAGCAAGGCCCTCACATGGAAAGCCAAGGACCTTGAACTTTCATCTGTCTAGCTATCTATCTCTTTATTTTTGAAGCAAAACATTTATTGGTACATTTTTTTTTTTTTGGTACCAGGAATCAAACTCAGGACCTTGCGCTTGCCAGGCAGGCGCGGCACCACTGAGCTACGTCCTCGGCTTTGGTACATTTTAGATATACATAATGATAACATTCATCGTAGGGAATTCGTGCCTGTACATAGATATCTTGTTTGAGTGCTTGAACTTTATGCTGCAAGCTGTGTGGAGCAGCCTTAGTCACAGTCAAATCCCTTTGTCAGTTGTGTGGAAAGCAGAAAGGAAAAGGCATTCCAGAGCCAGTTAGGAGCCTGGAGAGTCAGCCAGGCAGGAAGAAATAAGTGCTGATTTCCAGTGGTGAAGGGTGGAGGGAGAAGAGGGGCTGACAGTGGGAACAGTAGGTGGTTGGGAAGGGCTGTGTAGAGGACTGGTCACTGACTCGTTGCGGGTCAGCTGGAGATGTTGAAGTTGCCCTGTCCAAATATTGCAAAAGACACATGTCTTGTGAAGAGTGACAGCAGGGAAGCAGATGTCTTCACAGAACATGCCAGAGCTGTACATTGTGGAGCGCCAGTGACTCACTTGCTAAAGGAAGACGTGCCCACTGAGTTTTTTCATCAGCGAAGTGCATTCCTTCAGTGTTGTAATTGTTACATTGGGAAGCTGAGTAAGGTCTCCTTCCTATGGAATCCACTCAAAATTCCAGTGCCTCTGGGTATATTTAGGAGGTCTAGATATTCTGCTTTGGACAATCTATTCAGACTGTCATCACCTTAAACAGGTCACTTCAGGATTGTGAGCAAGTTTTAGTAAACTTTGGCTTGTGATTATGTTAAGTTTTCATATGATTTCACCAATAGAAGACCAGCTATCTGTTTTGAATTCCTGGTTTAGTCTTTTTCTCTTTATTATTTTTCTTGATTATTTTAATTTTCTAAACTTAAAAAAATCTTAACCTTCAGCTTTCTCAAATAATCAGGTGTCTAATTCTGTGTTTATGTTTTTTAAAATCTAGGATGTTGTTTTCCAGTGGCTCACAACAGGAGACATCCATCTGAACCAGATTGATGCTGAGGACCCAGAGGTAGGAGGCTGTGAATCATTAGAGAACTTTTAACTGAAAAATGGGGCTAACATCTCAGGACCACTTCACACAGTTCCAAAGGAATTTATCTCTGTCTCATCTGTAAGACTTATGGAGCTGAGTGTGGTGGCACAGGTTTATAATTCCAGCTCTTCGGGAAGGTGAGGCAGGAGGATCACTGGTTTGAGACCCCTGGCCACTTAGCAAGACTCTGTCTCAAAATAATATTTTAGAAGGGCTAAGGCCTAGCATGGTGGCACAGACCTGTAATTCCAGCACTTGGGAGGCTGGATAGGAGGATCACCATGAGTTGGAGGCCAGCCTGGGCTATGAAGTGAGTTCAAGACTAGCCTGAACTACAAAGTGAAACCCTGTCTCAAAAAAGGGGTAGGGGTGGGGGTAAGGATGTAGCTTAGCACCTCATGAGGTCAGTCATACCAGAAAACAAAAGTGCTATACCCACCTTCCAGAAAGAAAAGAAACTCGCAGAAGCATCAGAGGAAGCTGCAGAAAGGGTTTCAAAGTTCAAAGCTGCCAGATTGCAACAGAAAAGCTAGGAAATGGGGGTTTACATCCTAAAACCTATTTGTGTATTTTTAGAATATACATAGCAAAATGTGTTACATGTAGTTTTAAATGAGGCATCCTGAGTTGGTTTGCCAGCAACTTTTTTTATCCCTATCAGTGAGTGGTACTAAAATAATTCAAAGTAAATATTTAAATACTTTAATATTCAGCTTGTTAATTCTGTCAGTACTGTACAAGTTGGTCTTATGATGCAGTGGTAGCATTTCAAATTATTTTTCAAAGAATACTGTTCATATGCATTGTTTTTGTGTCTCAAACTAAATGCAAGCAGTTTTGTACCAGCTGTGATGTTGTGCATACCATATGGACCATTTTAAAGAAACTTTAAAAATTTCAATGGGTTCAACAATTATATTACTTGCTTTTGCATTTTAGAGGCACTTTTTAAAAATCTACTTCCCTTATAGGTTTTGCAGCTGGTGGCTATTTTTAAAAAGCCTCTCCCCTTTGGATGTAATACTATAATCTTTAAAGCAGAAAGCTACATGTACCCTCTGGGAAAGTCTCTTTGATTGGAAGAATTTTTTTACCCCAGTACTAGGAATCAAACTCAGGACCTTGCGCTTGCCAGGCAGGTGCAGTACCACTGAGCTACATCCCCAGCCTGATCGAAAGAACATTTTGTACAAACATTTTTTCAAGTAAAATTTTTATGAAACTTGGCCTCTAAAAAAAAAAGTGCTGTATAGCTATAAGACTTTCTTTGGAGCCATCTGTGGTGGTGTACCTGTAATCCAGCACCCTGGGAGACTGAGGCAAGAGGATTCCAAGTTCAAGCCCAGCCTGGAAAGCTTAGCAAGACCTTGTTTCAAAAATTCATTAATTCATTAATTCATTCATTTAAAAGATGCTGGAAATGTAATTCAGAGGGAAAGTCCTGGGTCAATGGTGGCGAACCTATGGCATGCTTGCTGCAGTGGACATGCAGAGCCCTCTGTGTTGCCATGTGAGTCTCTAAAAGTTTCACTATCACTGCCCTAGGTTCAATCCACAGTACCACAAAAATAGGCAGAGTGAAGATATGCCACGTACAAGGTCCCAATAATCTCAATGAACATGGACATTGTATACCATAAACATGAACAAAGATTAATAATATCAGCAAAAAGGAAAAGGGAGAATGGGGAATTAGAGGAAGCGGGAGGGAGGAAGCAGGAAAGTGATCAAAAAAAGAAATAAGTTGTATTATGTATATTTACCAACTCCTCAAGGTAATTGTAAAATGCATGTACTGCAAACACACACTAATAAAATAATAAAAAAATAGATGAGGGGCTGGGCGTGGTGGTGCACACCTGTAATCCCAGCACTCAAGAGACCGAGGCAGGAGGATCGCTGTGAGTTTGAGAGCAGCCTGGGCTACATAATAAGTTCAAGGCCAGCCTGAACTACATAGCGAGACCCTGTCTCAAAAGAAAAAAAAGATGGCTAGAGAGTAAGTAAAACAATTAACTAAAATACTCCCATATATGGAGCCATTAAATGTATGCATATTTTTCCCTAAATTCCTTCTGGAAATGATGTATGTCTCCACATAAAAGAACTGGTGTACAAAAAGGGGCTCAGTGTTCAGCTCACAGGCCTCAGCCCTGAGTGGACTGCGTGTTTGGCAGCTACCAGTCCTAGTCAGAGCGCCATGGGTCAAGGGTGCAGCACTTAGAGATGCTGCGTCTGCTCCTGTTCTGTGTGGCCACCTAGGTCCTGCTAAGTTTCTGGCCTTCCGGTTTTAAACTAAAGTAAGTAAAATCTTCAAGACCCCACTTAAATGAATCCATGGCCAAGCCATTGTTAATCCCAGGGCAGGTTGGTTCTGGGGCCTGCTCCTCTCCTGCCGCCCTGTTGTTCACTGTCCACCACGAACACTGGACTGATTCAGAAGTCCACCATCCATAGGAAGCCAGGGGAAGATTATGGTGGTGTTAAGGCCTCTCTCTCAAATAGCACACAGACCTTCCAGATTTAAAACCTGGTGAAAAATTCACTTTGTATTATAAGGCTTTGGAAAGTTAAATGTTGTGTCCGGTAACATTGCAAAGTGAAAAAACTGAAAACCTGAACTTTCTATGAGTACAGATCACATCATGTTATAATTGGAGTGATTTAAATCCAGACAATAGCTCAGTTTCAAATGATATTTAATAAAATCTTGGGCCGGGGATTTAGCTCAGTGGTTTCGCCACCTGCCTTGCAAGCGCAAGGACCCGAGTTCAATCCCCGGTACCCAAAAAAACCCACAAAAAACAAAGCAAAAAATCTTGTGATGCCATAAAGAGCTGGAATTTACCTAAAAAGTTTTTGTTTTTTGGTACCCAGTATCGAACTCAGGACCTTGAGCTTTCGAGGCAGGTGGCAGAACTACTGAGCTAAATCCCCAGCACTACCTAAAAAATTTTAATCTCAAAATCTCCCAGGGAGTTTTGAAAGCCAGTGCTCCTGGTAGCACTCTTCTGTGTTGCTGTCTGGACCTCTCAGGCCTTCATGGTTCTGTGAAGTAGGATTTTGTGGGAGACCTCCATGCAGAGAGATAAGAGAATCAGTCTCAGGACCTTTGGGAGTGCTGGCCTGTTCCTTGCCTCCTTGTTGTGTTTGAGTTATACCTGGTATCTGTTAGTGACCTTGTGAGCACTCTTGCTATCAACCTACTGTCCTGTTGGAGGGCCGAAGTGTCTGAAACACCATATATTGCTGGAAAGACCATTTTTTTCTTTATACTGTCAGCTTGGTTTTTGTTGTTGTTGTTTTGCTTTTAAAAAGTTTGAGGATTGGGAAGGGTTTTTTTTGGGGGGGTTTTTTTTTTGGTACCAGGGATTGAACTTGGGACCTTGTGCTTGTAAGGCAGGCACCAGAACCACTGAGCTAAATCCCCAGCCCTGGGAAAGGTTTTTTGTTTTTGTTTTGGCACTAGGAATTCAATCCATTGCTTTCACACATGAGTTATATCACCAGCCCTTTTAAAATTTTTATTTTTATTTACTTTTTTTTGGCTTTTTGAGACAGGGTCTCACTATGTAGTGCAGGCTGGTTTTTAACTCACTATGTACCCCAGGCTGGCCTCAAATGCAAGGTAATCCTCCTACCTCAGCCTCCTGAGTGCTAGGACTGTAGGTGTGTGCCACCATACCTAGCCCTAAATTTTTTATTTAGTATTGTATCATATTTAACAGTCTTCTAGCAATGGATGTTTAGCTTTCTGGTCTTTTACCATTACCAGCACGGAATCTATGTCATTATTAAGGGCTCTCAACACTGTTGGGAGATGTCCCTGGCTAGGAGAGAAGCTTGGGTCTGGTGTGTGAGGGGAAAGGCATCCATGCTGGTATCACAGGCAGTCATGCATCTAACAGGACAGACAGCAAATGGCATGGCCCAGAAGCTAGTGGGGCTGCATGTAGTAGTGGAAGTTTGTGGACTTTCTGATTGCCTCTATTTTGTCACTAAAATAGAAAACTCATCTGCTAAAGTTGTGTAAGGGAATATTATTTTGGCTTGTTGAAGTGATACAAGGGGAGTGTTGCCTTGCAGAATGGGAGTGTGAATGGACTAGCGAGATAGAGATGGTTGCTGGTTCTCAAGGTAAGAAATCATGAAGCTGAAAGGAGTCCAGTAAGCATGATTGCTCCTCTCCAGCTGTGTTCAGCTGTGTCACTTACCTGCATGAGCAATTGGAGAGTTGGACTTAGCCAGTCTTGTGGCTTAGCCAAGTGAGTTTTGTTCTTCTTTCTCCTTAAAATGGCTTATTTAAGGGTTAGTTGCCAGTGATCATGAAATCTCTACCAAAAGAGTATAAATGTGGCAGATTGAGAAGGAGCTGGTGGAGACTTGACTGGACAAACTCTTGTTCCTGCTGTACTGAAAGGAACCTCTTGTGGCTTTCAGATCTCTGATTACATGATGCTGCCGGACACTGCCACTCTGTCAGAGCGGTTGCGAGTATGTCTCCAGGAGGGCGATGAGAACCCGCGTGACTTCACCACCCTCTTTGACTTGTCTGTTTACCAGCTGGATACCACCTCCCTCCTCAAGGTCATCAAGTTAGTACCTGATGCTCTCACAGCTGCAGTGTGGTCCCTTCTGTGTTTGGTTTGAAAACATGGCCTAGGGTCAGGAGTGGGGTCACGGAAAATGTGGCAGGCAGAATGCATTCTCAGGTCTGAGATAAGGTCAAAGAGAAAGCAGGGTGGCGGTGCATGGTTGGCGCAGAGGACCTAGCCCAGCAGACATTAGCCCTCACCATTCCAGGCCTTTGGGGTGACCAGACATTTTTTGTTGAGTCCAGGACCTTTCCAGATTTTAACAAAGAAACTCATACGAATCAGGAACCCCTCAGTAAACTGATGTAATTGGTCATCCTGCCGGCACTTAGGCTGTTATGCCACTTAATGCTTTCAGCACCCCTCTGAGTCATTAGCTTCATTTTCACATGAGAAACCTGAAGTTTAAAGGAGGAAAAGTAGTTTTTCAAAGTGGGGTCAGAAGTTTAAAGCCAGGCAAGAGTGACTTTTAAGCCAGTGCTTTCTCCTGTTTTATTACCTATTTCTTTGTTTTCCATCCCCGATAACAGGATCAGGGAATAACATTTTTGAGCATGTTTGGCCTGGCACAGAATCTGCATCTGAATAAACCAAAGACTGGAGATACTTGGAATATAGCTATAGACGCTTGTCTTCCTACCCCTGTACTTAGGTTCAAAGTTGAACAAAACTGAGTGCCTACTATGCCAAGCACTATGCCTGGCATGTCCATTTTTATGCAAGAGACAGACCAAAGCTCTGTTACAAGCTTAGTATGCAAACTCTTAAGTGTGAAGGATAAACTGGTGGGAGGTGCATAATGAAAAAAGGGGATTTAATTCTGACTGAAGATCTTATGAAAGAACTGCTCTTTTAGCTTTACATTGATCATTTCAACAACTATTTAAGGCCAGTGTCTGCTTAACTGTGTGCTTTGAGGAGTGAGAAGGATTTCAGAAGATGGATAGGGTGTTGGGAAAGAGCATTCTGCATTCTGCATTGAGGTCACTGAGCAAAAAAGCCCTGGATATGCACATGTGTGTTCAGGCAAGGGAGTAGCTTGGGGCTCAGGCTAGGGCCATATAAGTGAGTGGGAACTAAGAGCACCTCCAGTGGAGGGACGTGTTTCTTGTAGCATTTTGTAAAATTAATTTGAAACAAGAAAAGGGGGAATGGGCCGGGGATTTAGCTCAGCAGTTCCGTTGCCTGCCTCGCAAGCGCAAGGACCCAAGTTCGATCCCCGGTACCAAAAAAAAAAAAAGTGAGGAGAGTGAAGAAAGCAGCTAGGAGACTTGTAGCTGATGAGGAGGGTGGAAAGCTGGAGCTAGTAAGAGTAGTAGGTATGGGCCGGGAATTTAGCTCAGTGGTGCCGCCGCCTGTCTCACAAGGGGAAGGTCCCGAGTTCGATCTCTGGTACCAAAAAAACCCAAAAAGAGTAGTAGCTATGGGTTTAGAAGATGTTTAGGAGAAAGAATCCATGGGACTTGTGTCATGGAAGCCTTGATGAACAAGTCCAAGACTGATTTCTCCCTGGAGCTCTGGCAGACTGGTAATGCTGTTAACTGGCACTAAGAGTGCAGTGAGAAAATAGAAGCTGGGAAGATGGCATGCTCCTGTAACCTCAGTGCTTGGGGGCTGAGGCAAGAGGATTACAAGGTCAAGCTCAGCCTAAGCAACTTAGTGACTTAGTGAGACTTTGTCTCAAAATAAAATACTAAACAAGGGCTGGTGATATAACTCAATGTGAAGGCTATAGGTACAATCTCTAGTAGAAAGGAAGGAAGGAAGGCATGCAGGCAGGCAGACAGAAAGAGAGAAGGGAGAGAGAAAAGGATGGAAGAGAAATGAAGGAAAGGAAGGAAGAAAAAGAAGGAAAGACAAATGGGTTCTCTTCAGGGCAGTCTTAGTATACTGTGGCAGAGAGTGTTCTTGTGAATGCTAGTTCAGGTGGAACTTACTAGTTTAGAGATGAAGAGGTTGGCAAGGCAGTATGGACGCTGTGAGAAGGGCTAGGCATATCCAGGGACAGCACTAGATTGGGAATTGGGCTCAAGGCAGGACCTCAAAACTCTCAAATATCAATTTGAGAGGCCTAAGAAAGCCAGTACTAAAAGCTGGGGAAAGCAGACTGAGGTACAGGATACCTGTGGAAAGCAGCATCCTGGGAGCCAAGGAGGAGGAAACAGTATCTAGCAGGCGTAGTCCAGAGAGGGGCCGAAGGGTTCATCATCCCCACTTCTAACCACTGGATTTCACTACAAAAAGAGAGCAGTTATTTAACTTGTCTTCCTTTTCCCACGACATGGTAAACCCGGACAACAGTCACGTTGCCATCCTGCAAACCTCATTGCCTAGGACCCAGCACATAATGGGCATTTGGTGAATATTTTAAAATTAATAAATATTCTGCCATTCCCCCTTTCATTTCCTAGCCACCTATTCATCAAATGAATTTTTGCAAGCTACTGTTCCCAGGCTCTTCTCTTGGAATTCAGGAAACCCAGAAGTAAATATCTTTGTCCTTTTGGATCTTATTTTCTGGCATGACAGGCATTAAGGGGTGTGTGTGTGTGTGCACACGAACGTATGCGTAAATTAAAGGCTATGTTAGAAAATGATAACATACGAGCACATCAGATGACTTCTTGGAGGTGGAGGTACTGCACCAGAATGCATTTTTTTTTTTATGAATACAGTACTTTCTTTTTATTTGGGTATGACTTAATTTTTTTCAATTAACAAATTTCTTATAAGCAAAGTAAATAAAAGCAAAAAGGTTTATACAGTTGTTCTATTTTCAAAATATTTTTATCTTGTGAAGTCTGTAAGCTCTTTGGACACAGTAATGACAACTTGTTTTTATATTTGGGATACCTGTACTTTACACTAGATAGGGTTTTATAGTTCTCAGAGAATTCTCAGTGTCCTACCTATTCGGAGGAAGGTAAAATAGTGTAGGAGGCAGGTAGTATAATAATGCAATAGGCTGAAAATTTTCCCACTGAATATGTCTACATTTGTGAATATTACTGTAAGTCAGTGATGGCAAACCTTTCAGAGTTTTTAGGGATAGCAAACATCCCACAGTGGTATGTATGTCATAGGTTTGCCACCACTGCCTAATTTAAAAAAAAGAGTGAATGGGCCGGGGTTTTAGCTCAGTGGTTTTGTCGCCTGCTGCACAAGCACAAGGACCCAAGTTTAATCCCTGGTACCAAAAAAAAAAAAAAGGAGTGACTATTACATTAGAAGGGAAAAGATGTCCTTGGTAAGGATTTGAGGTGAGAAAGAGATGTGAAGACTGAAGCCCTGACTGGAGCAATATGAAACGAGAAGAGACAACAGATTCCCTTCTAGAGTCCTAAGAATGAGTGAGGCCCTACTGGAATATGGACTTTTGGCCTCCAGAACTGTAAGAAGATATGTTTCTGTTGTTTTAAGTCACCAGTCTTGTCATGTCAGTCTTAGCAAACGAATACAGTATAACAGTATAACCATTTTACCAAAATAGCAGCTATTACCATTGTCCCAATGGCAAATCTCAGTCACAACTCTGTAATTAAGTCTTATAGCTATTAGGTAGCAGAGAAAGGATTCAAATCCAGATCTTTTACCTCTAAATAGAGAGCAATATTTGTTCAGTTGATCAATATTTTCATTCAAATGAGTGGTTACCTCAATCAGCCAAATGAAATAAACCTGCCAAAATAATTTTTGTGGGCATTGTGAAAACCAGACAATATATTGAATTTTTTTTCTTTTTTTGGAGACAGGGTCCATGTAATTCAGGCTGGCCTTGAGCTCACTATGTAGCTCAGGGCTAGCCAGTGATTCTCCTCCCTCAGCCTCCCGAGTGCTGGGATTATAGGTGTGAACCACCATGCCCAGCTCTTGAATTATTATTATTTTGTTTTTGTATGGGGAGTTGAACTCAGGGCCTTGCACTTGCCAGGCAGGCACTGTGCCCTGAGCTACATCCCGGCTCACCTTGAATTATTATTATTGTTGTTGTTGTTATTGTTGTTATTATTATTATTTTGGTTTTTTGAGACAGGGTCTTGCTTTGTAGCACAGTCTGGCCTTGAACTCACTATGTAACCCAGGGTGGCCTTGAACTTGCAGTGATCCTCTTGTCTCTGCTTCCTGAGTGCTGGGATTACAAGCATGTGCCACTGTGCCTGGCCCTTGAATTATTTTAAAAAATACACTTATTTTGGGCTGGGGATTTAGCTCAGTGGTTCCAGCGTCTGCCTCACAAGCGCAAGGTCCCGAGTTTGATCCCCGGTACCAAAAAAAAAAAA